AATTTCACAGTTACCGTTATGCATGGTGATATGGTGCAAAGAGAACGGGAAGAAATTATGAAGAATTTCCGTAGCAGTGAAAGGTAAGTGGCTTTCTGCTCCTTGATTGGTATCTTACTAGATCACGTTTACTTGGCCTGTTTGAAATTGTGTTTTAGTCGTGTGCTGATCACCACGGATCTGTTGGCGAGAGGAATAGATGTGCAGGAGGTATCAATGGTGATAAACTACGATTTGCCCAACAACCGTGAGTTGTACANGATAACTCATATGTCTCGACGTAAGTTGTTTAAGAAATTTGAGGTCCGCCGTGATAAGCTCCCAGGTGTTCGTTGGGCATCCCAAGGTCTACATAACATAATTAAATTCTTAACGTATTCAAGGGATTGTGAAGCCATAGTCTTTTGTATTCATTTAAGTTTTTATTGCCTTGTGCATCAATTTTAGGGTAGAGATAATCGCTTTTTTTATATAGTAATCCGTACTTTCTGCAATTTAATCTAAGACCACTGCTTACAACTAATTTATTTCAAATGGCAGGCGTTTAGATAGTTATCATTAGCCCTTTAGCTGACTTCGGGCTTCACAGAGATGAGGAGGGACATCAAAGTGACAAAAAGTCGTGAGGGGGAACAGAAGAGTATTTCAAAGATGTGAATGAGACAGACAGACAGACAGACACAAAGGCAGAGAAAAGGTAAGGTAAGTATTGTGGAAGTGGCTAAATATGACATACAGTAGGGTCATGGTAGTTTGAAGTCAGAAGTCAACTGCCGGTTAATAGACTCGTTTCGCCGTATGGGTATATTTCATCTCATCGCGGAAGACAACCCTCTATTTCTCCAAAAAGTTCCTCTAGTTCGTCTAACCATCGAACTCAAATCTATAACTACCATAGAGCCCTTAGAGAAGATGCCAAGAAGGGTTAAATATGCTGCAAATAACAAATGACCAAAACAAATAACTCGAGGCAGTAAAGGCGGCGAGTGATATTTCCCATTTTACCAGTCGCCTCCTCCAATTTCCTGTTGAAACTGATTCTAAAGTCAACATTATACCTCATTCTGAGGAATAAAACTTTCCCCAGCATACAAGTATCACCTTTCAGGCGACAAACATTAGCAAGATCAAAGCTGGTTTTAGGACTTATACCCAAATTAACTGCTTTCCCGTCAGCAATCTCTTCTCCAATATCTTCTCTGAATTCCCCTCTTGAAACAGAGACATCATATTTTTATCATGCGTGATCCCGTATTCGCTAATGCACGTCGTCTTCGACCTGACAAGTTACTGGCTGCTTAAAAGAAATTTCCCCACATGGTATCATTAAGAATCGCTCGACTTATAAGCCGTCTATAGACTTCACCTGTGCACATGGTCGTGAAGAAAAACGAGGATTAGAGATTATCTGAAGATTATCATAATCTCAATCAAATAACTGGCTAGATCGCTACCCCATTCCTCATCTCTACGATTTCTCGCTTCAACTAAATGGCAATGCCCTTTTCTCCAAACTACCTTATTAGAGCCTATCATGAGATACTACCAATTCAAGATGGTATGGAGAAACGACTGTAATCACGATATTAGTCCTTTTCGAGTACCTACGCATGCGCATCAGTTTTCATTATGCTACGCAACCATTTCATCGATTTATGGACCAAGTATTCCGTGGTTTAGAGTTCGCCTTTGCAATATTGACGATGTGCTCATTGGCAGTTCCGACCCTGAGAAGCACAAACGACACCGACAACAAGTATATGAACCCCGAGAAGTGTATATTTGGTCAGAACGAAATCGATTTCCTTAGTTATCACATTAGCACTTGTGCAAGTGCTCCTCTGTCCGAGAGAAATAAATCTACCTTGAAGTATTAAATTCCTCACTAAGTGAAGTCTTCATTGTTTCCAGGCGTGGTGAACGCTCATGGAAGATTCTTTCCAAACTGTGCTCAAAGCATTCAGCCTCTCACATATCTGATAAAGGGCAACCTGGAAAATTTCACCATGATACCAGAGGTCAAATTAACTTTTACTGAAGGGAGCCAACAACTATCCAAACAAATCACACTGAATCATCTCGATACATCCAGGAGCACCCGAATTAAATATTGGTACATCTCAAGTGACATGCGGGTATTTCCGCAACAGATAGTCAGCGACGACATTCAACCATTTTACTTATTCTCGAAGAAGATAACGTCTACCAAAACAATCTACAACACATTCGGGTGAGAACTGCCCTCATCTACTTAGCAGTCAAACACTTTCGGCATGTCTTTTAGGGATAACAATTCATAATATTCACCTAATGCAACCCCGATCTAGCATCCGTAAACTAGTATTCTTCCAGTGAAATCCATCAGTTGGACTTCATCTTACAATTCACCAATGATATCCTATATATCAATGGGTTTAGTAATATTTTGCCGATTAAATGTACCATATGGAACTGGATCAAATCCCTCTAACACTCCTTGACTTTCAGGAACTTGCTTCTAATCAAAAGTTAGATTCAGAGTTTATGGAAATCACTTCTTTCATTAAAGTTTGAATGCCTACCCCTAAACACATTCAGCATCAGAAACTGTTTTGCTGTTTCGACCGACAAGCTGAGACCTTTTACCCCGCAAGCACATCACCGGAAGATCTTCGATCATTTCGATGGATTGTCGCACTAAAGCATTCGTACAACTACTGCCTGATTACCGACCGTTTCATATGGAAAAAAATTCGACATGACGTTCGTTTATGGGCCAAAAAATTGCCTCAATTGTCAAGATATCAAGATACATAAACACACTCGAAGCTCTCTCACATTTGGCCGTTTTCGATACATGCACTCGCTTACATATTGACTTACTTTTACCGTTTTACACGTTGGCCTTTGTGGTACTGTTACGTGTTACTTCGACTTAAATTCATGGCTAGAATTCCTGTGGAAACTTGGATGCCTGTATTTGCTGTTCCATCAATTTCCATAACAGATGGAGGATCACAATTCATTCTTATCTGTCTCAGGAAGTGAGTTATCTCCTAGGTTCAACACATCCAAACTGCGATCCATCCTCAGATGCTAATGGTTTTATTGAACATTTTTATCGACAGTTTATATCCGCTATAATTGCAATTCCATTTAGTTTAAATTAGTCAGGACGTCTTCCAATCATTCTACTTGCAATTAGAAACACCACCAATAAATATAAATTAAAATAATGATTAGAGACTACAACCGATATTATCCCGTTTTCGTACAACTGAGACGTTTAAATCAACTGACCAACAGATGTTGTAACTTTTTATTGCTATAATAGGAAATAAGAGTAGGGTTAACTAATTTCTCCAAAAGCATGTTTTCATTTTATCACTTTATTTCGGCACTTTGAAATATGCTTTTAAACATCTTACATCTTCTTTGACATACTTGAACATCACACCAAATGCCTCATTTTTTGCCACCTAACAACTGGTGGAATGGAAAAAGGGTAATTTCTAGGTCAGAACTAATTAGAAAAATCGACTATCCACAAGTTTTGAGTCAATACTTTTTCAGATTTTTTATTTTTAGTGCTTAAACATACGACATGGAAATTAAGTAAAAAGATTAGTGACATCAGCCGGAGGATTGTGTCTTCAAAATACAAAAATTAGAAATGTGGGGAATGTACTTTAGAATCGTGATCAGATTTTGCAAAATTTGTTAAAAGAAAAATATTTATTTTGTTACGTATATAAATAAACATCCTTAATGTACCTAATATACGAGTTTATTGATGTTGAAAGTATATGAAATAAGGACGGGAGAATAAAACATATATATTAAAGAATCGATATTATATTAGATCGAACAGTCATTATCATAAACTCTAATACAAATAATGTTTAAAGTTAGAACTTACCTTGATTATATTTAAAATATTTCGAAAAATTAAAAATATTTTTTTTTCACAAAAAACTATCAATGTGATATTTTAATAGAGTAGACACGAGGTACCTTTTTCAGAATGAATCTCTTCGCACATTGTCGTAGTGCTGTTCGGATCGTGCGAAGAAATTTCGCCTCGGTATTCTTTCCGTCAACAGTTGGCTACCTTATCTATAAGGACTATACCAAAACGCAACAAGAAAAGAGAGTAGCTTCTGAAAAACTACAAAGCGCAGAAACTCAATTAGTTATGAGAGAAGGAAATTAAGATATCTATTGCTGAATCTTCGTCGCAGCTCTCATTATTCTTTGCCCTTGACATTTTTAGCTGTAAACTCGCCATATATCGTAATAGAAAATAATCGGAATTTGCCGATCCTTATCTGTACATCCATTAATTTTGGCTAATAAATGCTTTTGTAAATTCTATATTCGTTATCTTTACAAATTCTATTAGTATTGATACACATTAATCCTATCTAATTTTTAAGAAAATGTCAGAAACGAGAAGCAAACGAGCTAATCCCGATGATGATTTCAAAAATATGGAATTCGAAACATCTGAAGATGTGGCCGTCCTTCCCACTTTCGACTCTATGGATTTGAATGAAGATCTTCTCAGAGGTATCTACGCCTATGGATTCGAACGACCCTCTGCAATTCAGCAGCGTGCTATTAAACAGATAGTTATTGGAAAAGATGTTATAGCTCAGTAAGTGTTTGAATTTTTATAATTGTGCTGTTCCTTAGAGCTCAATCAGGAACCGGCAAGACAGCTACCTTGGCGATTGCATCATTGCAAGTTTTGGACACTCAACTTCGTGACACACAAGTGCTGATTCTATCACCTACTCGGGAATTGGCGTTGCAAATCCAGAAGGTTATTCTGGGATTGGGAGATTTTATGAATGTGCAGTGTCATGCTTGTTATGGTGGAACTAATGTAGGTGAAGATATAAAAAAATTGGATTACGGTCAGCACATTGTGTCTGGAACCCCTGGTCGGGTATTTGGTAAGGAATTTCAGCACTCATTTGTGATTACATGTTTAGCCTGTTGGTAAACTCTGTTCTTTTGCATTGTAGACATGATTAAGAGGCGGAATCTTCGCACGAGAACTATCAAATTGCTGATATTGGATGAGGCGGATGAGATGTTGGATAAGGGCTTCAAGGAGCAGATTTACGATGTATATCGTTATCTACCTCCTGGAACTCAAGTGGTATTATTGTCAGCCACTATGCCGCATGATATTCTCGAGATGACTTCCAAGTTCATGACGGATCCCGTCCGTATTCTCGTCAAACGGTAAGAGAAAATTTGAGGACTTTGTTTCGTTGCGTTAACTTTCGTTGTCATACGTGTCTGTCTCGGAGTTGTTAATTACTTGGAGATTTCATATTTTCTTGTGCACGTTGGCTAGATGAGTTGGTGATCAGTTTCCTTGTGTTTTTGAAAAGGTTAATTTAGTCTACTTATTGTTGGATAGAGAATTGTGTGTGGATGTTGGTTCAGATGTTTTGATTGATTGAGGAAGTGTGTATGCAAGAGTGCGCCAACTTAGAGTAGAGAATGAGAGTGTAGATCTCTTCTAGGTGGTTAAAGAACTTTTAATTAAGAACAGTGGTGGTATATGTGTATATATTTGGTGAATTCTAGGAGGTTTGTTGTGTTTTTCAGTGATGAACTTACTTTGGAGGGAATAAAGCAGTTCTTTGTTGCTGTGGAGCGAGAGGAGTGGAAGTTCGAGACCCTGTGTGATCTCTATGATACCCTGACGATTACGCAGTCAGTGATATTCTGCAACACTCGTCGTAAGGCCGAGTGGTTGGCTGAGAAAATGCGAAAGAATAATTTCACAGTTACCGTTATGCATGGTGATATGGTGCAAAGAGAACGGGAAGAAATTATGAAGAATTTCCGTAGCAGTGAAAGGTAAGTGGCTTTCTGCTCCTTGATTGGTATCTTACTAGATCACGTTTACTTGGCCTGTTTGAAATTGTGTTTTAGTCGTGTGCTGATCACCACGGATCTGTTGGCGAGAGGAATAGATGTGCAGGAGGTATCAATGGTGATAAACTACGATTTGCCCAACAACCGTGAGTTGTACATTCACCGTATCGGTCGGTCGGGTCGTTTCGGGCGGAAGGGAGTGGCAATAAATTTTGTGAAGAACGAAGACATTCGCATTCTTCGCGATATTGAGCAATATTACTCCACACAAATCGACGAAATGCCAATGAATGTCTCTGACCTTGTCTAAGCATTTTTCGCCTGTCGTTTTTGTACATTTAGAATCATGCCCTATTATAAGTGAATGTGTTAAATATTCCCATTGTTTTTTTTGGTTATAAAATTTTACTGGTATGATGTTGTTCATTCGTTGTTTTTTTGGGTGCAAATTGAAATGATTGGGAAGACCATTAAATTTTGAAAAATTGGAATTGTATTATTTTTAACGCTTTTTTATGTTTCTGTTACAATGAAAGGTGGTTTTTACATCGGTGCGGTAATGTTCACCTAGCTATCGAATGTGAAATTTTCAAAACCCAAACTAGGTGTCATGATTCTTGGTTGATCACATCACTAGTATCGTCACTGATAACTCATATGTCTCGACGTAAGTTGTTTAAGAAATTTGAGGTCCGCCGTGATAAGCTCCCAGGTGTTCGTTGGGCATCCCAAGGTCTACATAACATAATTAAATTCTTAACGTATTCAAGGGATTGTGAAGCCATAGTCTTTTGTATTCATTTAAGTTTTTATTGCCTTGTGCATCAATTTTAGGGTAGAGATAATCGCTTTTTTTATATAGTAATCCGTACTTTCTGCAATTTAATCTAAGACCACTGCTTACAACTAATTTATTTCAAATGGCAGGCGTTTAGATAGTTATCATTAG